GCGGAGGCCCGCGCCCGGGCGCTGCAGGCCCCGGCCTTGGCTCCCAGCGCCCTGGGACCAAACAAAGCCCACAGTTCGGTACTTTGGGGTGGTTTTGTTGTTTGTGTTTCCGACACAGGTCTCACTAGGTAGAGCGTAACTAACTGAGAGCCACCTAACTGAGAGGGCCAGGTGGCGAGGAGGCCGAGTCAGGAGGATCACCAGGATCTCACAGCTACATAGTGAGACCCTGGCTCAGAAAACCCAAGTAAATAAAGAGGAGGTCCTTGGGCCCACCGAGCTTGTTAGCAGCTGAAAGCCTTTTGTTCTTTTCGTGTACTGAAGGCTGAGTTCTAAAAAAATCCTTAGTTTTCTGTTTTTTGAGGCATTGTTTCCCACCACTCTGTAGTCCAAGTTGGCTTTGACCTTGCTGTGCGCTTAGGCTCAGATGTAGCAGTTCTCCTGCCTCAGCCTCCCTTCTGCTGGATCACGGGCGTGCGCCCCCACTCCCAGCTTCCGCTCTTCCTTTGGAAACTGCTTCACGTGCGATGCCCCGGGCAGCCCGAGAAACCGCGCGCTCTCTCCCTGTTCCCGAAGCCTCGTGATCCGCGGGGAGAAGGAGGAGCAGGCCGTGCTGTGCAGCAGCGACCGAACCTACGAGCTCAAGGTGGCCGACACCTCCAACCTGCTGCTGTGCGTCCCCGGCTGCAAGACGCCCGCGCAGCTGGCGGGGCAGGACGCGGCCCCTGGCCTGCTGCACGCAGAGGTACCGTCCTCTCCGCTTGCCCTTACCCTCCGAGTGGGCGTCGCGCTGTGCTAGCATCTTCTCTTCAGTAAGATCTTCAGTGTAAGCGGTGCGTCGGGGGCACGCCTGTGATCCCGGCTCTGGGAGGCTGAGGCAGGAGGATCCCAGCGAGTTGGAGCCCAGCCTGGGCTATATAGTAAGAGTCTGTCTAAAAAAAATAACCCCAAAATAAATTTAAAAGCCTTTTAGGTATAAATTATGTAATCATGAGATTCTGAGAAATTATTTCATGAAATTGGAAATTTCCCAGCGTTATTATTTTTGTTTGAATTGTGAACTTGTCTGTATTTTCACAGTTTGATTCCCCCCCCCCTTTATGGTACCAGGGATCAGACTCAGGATCTTGGGCTTGCAAGGCGGGTGTGGTGCCACTGAGCTAAATCCCCGGACCTGGGTTTTTTTAAAGACAGGGTCTCCCAGTGTATTTTAGGCTGCCCTTGAGGTTGTGGCAATCCTCCTGCCTCAGCCTCCCACAGTACTCGGATTATGGTTGTGCTCACTGGGTCCTAGAGGGTAGTTACATTCCACAAGTCTCTCCTTTGCCCTCTGTTTCATTTTTAAGGGACACAGAACAAGGGTGCCCACCCCTTGTCCCTTTAACATTCTCTCCTTACTTGAAGGCTATGATAATGTCTCATTGTTATTGTGTTTTTTGGCAAAACTGTGTTGTTTTCTCCTGGTCTACAGAATTGGTGCTGTCCTGGTCAGTTTTTCATGGGCGAAGTTAGTTTCTAGTGTGTGCTTCAGGTGCGACGTTCAATTCCTCATTTTCAGCCAGACATGGTGGCACAGTCCTGTCATCCAGCACTGGGGAGGCTGAGACAGGAGAATCACTGTGAGTTTGGGGCCAGCCTGGACTGCAGAGAGAGATCCTGTCTCAAAAATTAGCAAAAAATTACCATTCTCATTTTGTCCCGGTGCCAGCTGAGCTGGGCTCTGCAGAGACACCTCTTGCTCTTGGTTCTTGCTGAGGGAGTTGTGTTGCTGAGACTTCTTCAGGACAGCCAGTAAAGGGTTATGATGCGTTGTGATTCCTAGATCTTTGGCTTTTCCAATAATTACTGGGAATTAAGAAGATGCAGACCTAAACTCCAGAAGCTGAGGAAACTTCTGAAGGAAAACACCTATGAGGGGCCCGACAGCCCAAAAGAAGTGGATTCGAATCGCTCCAAGGTGAGACTGACACTGTCACTTTTGACTGGAAATTAGGGAAAAGATCGGGTTAGCTGCACTGAACAGTGACATTCTCACCTTCACGTTTGTCTTCAATCATAAGCCCACTGTAGTGGGCGTCTTGTCAAAGGCCACCTGCCCTGTGCTGGCCCAGCCGACCTCACAGTGATCCTCCTGCCTCAGCCTCCTGAGAGCTGGAATCACAGGTGTGCACCACCACGCCTGGCTCTTTGATAATTTTGAGCATCTTTTCATGTTCTGATTGGGCATTTGTGCATCTCTGGAGAAATGCCTACTCCATTTCGCTGCGTCTTTGTGGGTGAGTTGTTCATCTTTTTGTGATGAGTTGCAGGAAGTTTGTTTGCTTCAGTTACACATAAGGCTTGTTCTGCTGTTCTTTTTCATTGTGGAAGAACAAACAGGACATAGGGTTTAGCATTGAAAGAGTCTTGGGCACACGCTCAGCCCTGTTCTGTCCCTGGGAGTGTGTGTGAGCATCGGCCTCCCAAGCTGAGCCTGCATTTGTTAAATGAAGTCTCCCCGTTTCCTGTTGCTGATCCCCAGACGGTGGCCACGTCTGACTTCCTGTCTCTGTGAACCTGCCCACTCCGAAGTCCAGCACGGAAGCGGGGCCATGCAATGTTTGTGTTTGTATGGAGCGGATTTTAAAGTGCAGAAGTGTATGATTTTGATGTAGCCTGGATGATCTGGATTTCCTTTCCGTGCCTATGTTTAAGAAACCATTTCCTGCTGTGCACAGTGGCACATGCCTGTATTTCCAGCAGCTTGGGAAGCTGAGGCAGGAGGATTGCAAACTTCAAGTCCTCCCTAGCCAATTTAATGAGACCCTGTCTCAAAATTAGAAAAGCTAAAAGAGCAGTGGTTTTAGCTTGGTGCAAGGCCCTGGGTTCAATCCTCAGTGCTGTCAAAAATTGAAAAATAAAGAATCATTGCCAAATCCCAAGAAATGAAGATTTACCTCTCTGTTTTCTTCTAAAACTCCTCACCTGATGGGATTGAACTCGAGGCTTTGCACTGAGCTATGCACCTAGCTTTTCTTTTCTTTTAAATTTTGAGACAGTGTCTTGCTAACTGGCCAGTGTGGGCTTGAACTTGGAATCATCCTGCCTCAGCCTCCCCAGTGCAGTGGGATTACAAGTGTGTGCCACCATGCCCGGTGTGGTTTTTGTGTCAGAATCATTATATGTTGATAATAAAAGAACAGAACTAATGCATACATTTTGCCTCAATCAGTTCTATATTCTTGCAAATTCAGTGAGAAATCTAAAGAAATCCTATTTTTCAGAGCATTAAAATTTTTTTTCTTTTCAGTATACAACTGAAGATTTGCTTGATGTAATTCAGGCAAGCGAGGAAGAAATAATGGCCCACTTGCAAGTTCTGAATGCCTGTGAGATTGGAGGTATCTTCCCAGCGATCATTAATAAGGGTGGGGCAGGGCGTCAGACAGGAGGTGGCTTGGGGTGTCTTCACCCTATTTCATGCTTGCTTAATCTTCCTGGGGGCTCAGAGCTGACGGTGTGAGGTGCTGGGTGTGCACTAGGCCCTGCATTCAGTCCACAGCGCTGCAAGCAAACAAAAATGGATGCTATTTGTCTCTTGAGCTTTTCAGACAGGGTCTGGCCTTGACCTCAAGGCGACCCTCCTGCCTCTGCCTCCTGAGTGCTGAGATGACAGGCCTAGGCCCCCACACGTGGCTAGAAAGCGAAGACTTCTAGTGTTGTTTTTGTTTTCGTTGTTTGCTTTTGCAGTGGGCAAGCATACGCCAGTACTTAGACCTTACAGCTACTTCATTCTCTTAACATACCCCTGGGTAAAGCTGACTTTTGGAATTCTAGGTTACTGGAGGGTTCTGGATTTTGATTATGAGATGAAGCTTCTGAACCATGTAACTCAGCTTGTGGATTCTGAGTCGTGGCCGTTCAGTAAAGTCCCTTTGAGTGTTTGCCTTCAGGAGCTGGGCCCGCTGGAGCCAGAGTGAGTATTTTAATTCCTTGCCCAGCACACTTCTTGGAGGAGGGGAAAGTTCTCCCCTGGCCTGGAACCAAACAGGACGTAGGCTGTTCGTATTTAGGGATCTTAGAAAAACATTAAAGAAACATAGCCAAAAAGGATTTGGCCATTTTGGTCACTAGGGTGAATGAATCTGCATCGTTTTCTCTTCTTTTTGTCATAAAAATATAAATTATTGTACTGTTTGAGCTGTTTTATAATAATATGCTCACATGTCCTGTAAAACGCATAGCCTGAGGCTTGGCCTTAGCAGTTCCCCAGGGTATATGAGTTCTGATTTAAATAAAGTATCATTTGGGCCGGGGATTTAGCTCAGCGGTTCGGTGGCCTGCCTTTCAAGCGCAAGGACCCGAGTTCAATCCCCAATACCAAAAAATAAATAAATAAGTAAAATTAAAGAAAGTATCATTTGGCATCCAAATAATTTAATATTTCAAATTTCAAATTTATATCTAAGCTTCTAGTTAGAAATGATGTTTAAAATGTAGTGCGTGATGGCCTGTATATCCGTCAACAGATGAATGGATAAAAAAGTATAATATTGGGATGGGGATTTAGCTCAGTGGCACGGTGCCTGCCTTGCAAATGCAAGGTCCTGAGCAAGGTCCTGAGTTCAATCCCCGGTACCAGAAAAGAAAATATATATATATAATACCAAGGAGTACTACTGTGTCATAAAGGAGGATAGATTTGAGTCTTTTGTAGGAAAATGGATGCACCTTGAGACCATCATGTTAAGTGAAATAAATCAGACACACGGTTTCTCTTATATGAGAAACCTTAAGTATAAATAAAAAGCAAAATAAATTGTAGATAAATAACAGGAGCCAGGCACGGTGGGGCACACAGCTGTAATCCCAGCATGGGGGCTGAGGCAGGAGGATCTTCATGAGTTTGAGGCCAGCTGGACCTCCTAGTGAGTTCAAGGCCAGCCTGAACTACACAGGGGAACCCTGCATCAAAAAACCAGAATAGGAGCTGGGGATTTAGCTCAGTGGTTCTGCTGGCTGCCTCGAAAGTGCAAGGTCCAGAGTTCGATCCCTGGTACCAAAAAGCAAAAACAAAAACCCAGAATAAATCAATAGGTAGGTAATAGGAAGTAAGGAGATATATTTTTTTGCAAAAGGGGAGGGTACCAAGGAATGGAGGGGAGAGGGAAGGAGATGAAGAGAGAGTTATGTGTCATGTATAGGTTCCAACTTCCGACAAGGAGAGTGATCACTGTGTATTGCAAATGTGGACTAGAAAATAAGTGTGTTAGGAAAAAATAAAGGGGAATACCTGGAGAGAACTGATCACCAGAATACCACATAGTGCATCATAATGGTGACAACTTTTCAAAAAAATTTTTTTTTAATTTTCAGGGAAATGATAGAGCACTGCCTCAAGTGTTATGGAAGGAAATATGTAGATGACGGTAAGTTTGGGAAGGACGCCCACAGGCCCTGAAGTTTTGTATGCTGGGGTTGGTGTGCCTATGTGGAGTGAGCTGGTGTTAAAAACAGACCGAGAGGACGGGGGTGAGGGATGCATTGCCTTATTACTTCTTTAATGGTGGCACAGAATACCCAATAGCCAGAGCTAAAGGAGGAGAGGTTTATTTCAGCTCACAGTCTGTAGAGGTTCCAGCTGGGTTAGCTCCAAGGCTGGACAGCAGAGCAGGAGAGAGACAGTCCATGGCAGTGTAGGCAGGAAGCAGCCGCGGTGCAGCATCTGCAGAAGTGGCAGTGAGCCCTCCTTTCCCTTTTATTGCATCCAGGCTACAAGCCTGTTGGTTGGTGCCACCCACCCAGAGCGGAGCTTCTGTTTTCAGTAAATCCATTCAGCCACACCCAAAACCACACTAAACCAGTTGGTGGACTTCACCAGTGCCACACATCCAAAATACCAGGAGCACACCCATGAACCAGCCACGTCCCAGATGCTGCCCCACCTATGAGCACGTGAGGCTTCGGGGGACATCTAGATACAAGTCCTAGCAGGTGATAGTGCCACGAACTGGCACTGTGGGGAGGACTGCAGGACCTGTTGGAGGATAGCACAGGACTCTCTGGTGCCTTTTCTGCAGGAGAAGTTTATTTTGAGCTGAGTGCGGATAAGATCTGCTGTGCCACAGCCCAGATGCTCCTGCAGAACGCAGTGAAGTTCAACCTGGCCGAGTTCCAGGCAGTGTGGCAGCAGAGTGTCCCTGAAGGGATGGTGACCAGTCTGGACCAGCTCAAGGTAACCCCAGCAGGCCTGCTGCGTGATTCCAAGTCATTGCGGCCGGAAGCTGAATGTGGGGCCCTCTCCCGGACACCCGTGAGGAGTTCAGAGTGCGCCGTCCTTTAACCGTGCTGGGGCTCCACAGAGACACCACATACGGATCACAACGTTTGCCTTTTTGCTGTTCTTTGATTCAGGGTCTCGCTGTGCAGTTCAGGCTGGGCTGGGTAGCAGAACTTTGGTTTGCTGTTTCCCTAGGATGGGGTAGGGCTGGGAGGACCTAAGCGCAGTGGTTGGGCTTGGGGAGGGGCACTAGGTGAAGATAGAAGTCACAGCTGTGAGCACCGAGCGGCAGGGAGGGGGACAGGAGGTGAGCCAGGAGAGAGGACAGAGGCCGGGAACCACACCAGGCAGGAGGAGAGGGACCATGGCGCCGAGCTGGGGACGGGTGTGGGAGGGAGGAGCCCCCCACGTTCTTGAGAAGTGAGGACCAGGCGACCAGGAAGGGCCCCACTGGACGGGGGTGGACTGAGTCCTGGGACCTGCTGTCCACACAGATGGGGGAGATAGAAGGCCAGACTGCAGAAGGGGTAACAGGCATGTACACAGGGGCAGCGTGGTGACGCATGCCTGGAATCCCAGCACTCGGGAGGCCAGGCAGGGAGTTCGTGTTTAGTTTGAGTCTGGCCTGGGAAAACAATCTCATAAAACGAAGAAAGGAGCTGTTTTTATGAAAAAGGCTTAGGAATCTGTGGATACTTTTGTGAGGCTGGTATTCACCTTGGGCTAAGCTGAACCAAATGGTTGAATAGTGGATCACCACATGAACTGCCTTTCCCTTCTGTTTCTTACAGGGATTAGCGCTGGTGGACAGACACTCAAGGCCAGAAATCATATTTTTGCTCAAAGCGGATGACTTACCTGAGGGAAACCAGGAACGTTTTAATGCTCTGTTCTCTCTAAGGGAGAAGTGGACGGAAGAAGACATTGCTCCCTATATCCAGTAAGGAAATGAGTAACAGACGATTTTTGCTTTTGAAGACGGGGTCTTGCTGTGTAGTTAGACTGGCCTTGAACTCGCTGTGTAGCCCAGGTTGGCCTTGAAGTTGCAGGTATTCCTGCCTCAGCCTCCTAAGTGCTGGGATTACAGGCCTGTGCCACTGCCCAGCTACGACTTTCTAGAGAAAATGCAGGCAGTTAGACCAGAGCCACCTTCTCTTCCCACCTGTGTCTTGGTGCCTCCGACTGTCCCGTTACGGTGGCTGTGTCGTCGCAGTGTCTGATAGAACTTCACACGCGCCTCCCCGCTTCACCTTAGGGAAGGGCACCCCATCATCAGGTATGTGGGGCTGCAGCTGACTGGATCTACGCCCAGTGCCACGGGCTGGGGATGCCGCTCAGTGGTTCCAGTGCCTGCCTCACGACTGCAAGGACCTGAGTTCGATCCCCGGTACCAAACAATAAAAAATAAATAAAAAGGGCCGCTCCCATTCGGATCTGAACCAAACTCGAGGCGGTGATGGCGAGTTAAAGGGATGGCATTTAAGGAAGACGCTTTATTTGTAAGGAGGGAAAAGAAGCCAAAGCCAGACGGCTGCCCTGGGAGGGGAGGGAGCTCCAGAAAGCTGGATCCCAGCAGGCCCTTGGTCCCTGACTGCTTTTACTGGGTTCGGGCCCCTTCTGGGTGGGTACTTGGAACTTGTCACAACCCGACTGGCCCCTGGACTGTTTAGATGGACGTGAGGCCCCAGGATGCCGAGCTGGACGCCACTGCCCACACGTGCGTGTGCGGTCCTTTCGGTGGCGTTGCTTGTTCCTCCCCGTCGGTCCTTATCGCTGGGACCGATGGGCGCGGATTCTTCTAGATGAGGCAGCGTGGTGTCTTGTGCGGTAGCCAGTGACCCTAGGAGCGAGTGTGTGAGCGCACAGGCGTGAGTGTCCCTCTTCGCACACTGAAGGGCTCTGTGAGGGTAGCGGCCCTCCCCGCGTGTCCCCTGCCTTCTGGGGGAGGCGGGAGGTGGCTCCTTCCCTTCCCTGCCCGCAGCCCCTCTGGTCTGAAGCGCTCGGTGCCACCTGTGCCATCTGGGTTTTCTCTCCCTCCCCGCTTGTCCTGTGACTGCTGGCAAAGGGATTCTCCAGTAGTTTTGCCAGCATTAGCCCTAAAACCCAGAGGAGAGGCCTTTATTCTGTCCTTTGCCGCCTGAGGACCCCCTACGTCTGCACAGCTGAGGAGGCCAAGGCTGGGAGCGTGACGTAGGGTGACGAGTCTGGGCGACGCGAGTCAGGAGCCCTCTTCGGCCTTCCTCCCTGTCCTGCTTTAAACCAGGAGCCGATCCTGTGCGTTGTTGCGTGTCTGCCTCTGAACGGGCTTGCTCTGTCCGTCTGTTCGTCCGTCCATCCGTCCGTCCTTGCCCTCTCCTCCCCTCCATGCTGCCTGTTTCGGGCTGTGCTGTACTGGCCATGCCCAGGCCCCACACCCGCTCCGCAAGTGCTCTCCCTCTGGCTACACCACAGCCCCTGGTGTTTAGTTTGCAGTGTGTTTTCTTTTTCTTTCTCCTTTTTTAAATGGGGCCCGGGGACCCAGGGCCTCACAGGCTGGGCGAGCGCTCCCCGCCGACCTCCACCTCCGGCCATTTCGTTCCATTTTGTCGGGCTGACAAGCTGCCTGGCCGGCCCCCAACCTGCGGCCTCGGCCTCAGCCTCGCAGGCAGCCAGGTGACAGGTGCCTGTCGCGCTGTGTACTGCAGACATTTGCAGCACCTGAAGTGAGCACGGTGACTTCTCCCTGGACCCAGCTCCTGTCTCTGTTCATCGTCTGTGTTACTCCGAACTTGGATCTCACAGTGCCTTTCCTGTTGTCCTCCAAGCCTGCCCTGTCCCTGTCCTCGACTTCTCTATGTGGTAAGGGAGGGGGCTGCACAAACTCGTACCCAGTAGTCTAGTGTCCTGCTTTGACACTGCTTGAATTGCCGACTTGGGAGGTTTGTTCAACTAAGACTTAGAACTGCCAGGTACGGTTGTCCACTCCTGTGTTTCCAGCACTCAGGAGGCTGAGGCAGGAGCGTTGCTGCAAGTTCGAGCCAGCCTGGGATACATCGTTCAAGGCCAGCCTGGACTGTGTAGTAAGACCCTGTCTCAAAAGTAACTGAAAAACACTTCAAAGCCCTGTCCCTTTCTTCCATAAATGCACACTCCTAGGCCTAGAGGAAGGACGGATTTGGGGGAGGGCATTAACTAGTGCCGTTACGCGGTCTCGGATATTCATGCTCTGCTTGGGTTTTCTGGTTTCCGCAGAGACCTGTGTGGAGAGAAGCAGACGGTAGGTGCCTTACTCACTAAATATGCGCGCTGCTCCATGCAGAATGGCGTGAAAGTTTACAACTCCCGAAGGCCCGCTGCTTAGAGGACAGCAGTCCACTCTGGGACTCAGTTGCCTTATAAACTGTTGGACATAGAAACAGATTCTCCTGTGAATTTTTACTCCCAACTCTGAAACACCTATTCCGTGAAGCATTTTCTCTACTCTGCTGTAATGGGACATTTATTCATTCTTCACATGTGTACTATGGGGACAAGGACCAAATAAAGTATTTCCTATCTATAGTGTGCCTCGGAAGACTGTGTGCTGTTTCTAGGAAGAGATTTTGTATGTAAAACTACACCTTAGTTAGGATTTGACATTCTGGTCATCAGTACATTGGGGCCGGGGGTTTAGCTCAGTGGTTCCCCCGCCTGCCTTGCAAGCGCAAGGTCCCAAGTTGGATCCCAGGTACCAAAGAAAAAACAAAACAAAAACCGACATTAACACATTGACTTTTTCACTTCTTTCAATACTGACTGACAGAAGGGATTTATTCACAGCAGGTGTGGTGGCACAAACCTGTAGTCCCAGGACTCTGGGAGGCTGAAGCAGATGGGTCCCAAGTTTGAGCCCATCCTGAGCAAATGAGTTTGATGCTGTTTCAGAATAAAAACCAAAAAAAAAAAAAAAAAAGGCTGGGGATGTACCTGGCATAAAGGCCCCGCGTTCAGTCCTCAGTGCTGCCCCCAGAGGGAGATTTCGCTCACTGAAAAGCCACTCCTCAAGCAAGTTTCCCTCCAGGACTGGGAGTCACTAGGTACCGGGAGTCCTTTGCATCGAAGCCGGCTTGGTAACTGCTCCCTGTTCCCGAGTGCCTCACGCCGTGCTTTGGGTAAGAAGGGTGTGGTCGCCAGTCCCACGTGGAGAACCCTAATAGAGGAGCAGCTGCTCTTCACGCATGAGGGGAACCACACTGGGAACCACGCACTCCAGGCCCGTGACGACGACATCCTGCGTGCCATAGGTTGGCCACCACTGCTAGGTGGTTCTGCAATGCTTGGAAAGTTTTCTGTTTTGGCTTTTTTTGAGATAGGGTCTCGCTATATAGCCCAGGATGGCCTCTAACTCATGGTGATCCTCCTGCCTCAGCCTCCTTAGTGCTGGTATTACAGGCATTGATGAGTTCTTTAGAAGTTTATTTTCCCAATTTGTTTTAGACTGAAGTTCAAATTACTTTTAAGTTGGCAAGTGAACCAGGATGGCTGGAGGGTAAACCAAGATAAATCTGGCCCAAGGTTTTATTTTATTTTATCTTATTTTTTTGGTATCAGGGATCGAACTCCAAGGACTCGCAAGTCCTTGGGCTTGCGAGGTGGATGGTGGAACCACTGAGCTAAATCCTCAGCCCCGGCTCAAGGTTTTAAAAAAGTTAATGAAGTGCTGGGGATTTAGCTCAGTGGTTCCATTGCCTGCCTTGCAAGTCCAAGGTTCTGAGTTCAATCCCTGGTACCAAAAAACAAAAAGTTAATGGAGTGCTGGGTGTGGTAGCACATGCCTGTAATTCCAGCACTTGGGTGGAGGAAGCAGGAAGATCAGTGAGTTCAAGGCCAGCTGGAACTACATAGCAAGACCCCATTTCAAAACAAGTTAATGGAGAATTCACAATTAATGGAAATTTAACTGTATACTGAAGTTCACGTGTTTATTCTTAGGCACTTGAATGATAAGCATGATGGATTCAAGATATTTGTCTTTCAATAATTTTTTCTGCATTTATGTTATGTAATATATACACATACTATATAGTATTACATATTATAAACCTAATATATGCTATACATGTGATTTTATATATATGTACATACACACTATATAGTGCATATTACAGTGAATATAGAGTTCACCCAAAAGATGTACATACATATTTAGAAAAGAATAACTTACTGTAATCCCAGCACTCGGGAGGCTGAGGCAGGAGGATCGCTGTGAGTTCGAGACCAGCCTGGGCTACATAGTGAGTTCCAGGTCAGTCTCAACTACATAGTGAGACCCTGTCTCAAACAAACAAACAAAAAAACCCAACAACAACAACAAGAAAAAATAAGTTGTAGTATTGAGACCCATGATTAACAGGAGTTACCTGTGGCCCCCATAATTATAAGAGGTGCTCAAAGCAGTGGCCATGAGCTTCCAGACATTTATTAGTACAGTGAACTGCTGCCCGGTAACCTCGGTCAGAGCGTCCGCTGAGAGCTGCACATGCATTTTCAGTTTCTTCTCTGAGCACTGGCAGGGTAGTGAGTTTTCTGAGCTGCGCCACACCCTGCGGGTCCCCCACAGGTGAAAGTCTGCAGGTGTTAAGTGCGGGGAACTCAACTGCACCTGTGCATCCGAGCCAGCGTCCTTGCGAGTCCTGTCCAGGCCAGCTCACACGGCTCTGAGGTAGTGTGGTGGCGCGCTGTCTTGTTGAAGGAAAAATTCATCATTTCCACGAAGTTCACGCATGGCAGGTAAGATGGACGTGTGCAGCAGGTGCAGGTATGCTTGGCCTGTCGCTACCTTCAAAGCGCGGTCCTATCAGCCTGTGGCTGACTCCTCACACCAGACACGGACTCCCGGTGAACGGACTGCCCCATGCACAGGCTCGTCAGCATTTCCTGGTGACCAGGAAACAGTCATGTCGGTGCACTGTTCCGTCCAGCCTAAACTGGGCTTCCCCAGACCACACAAGCTCCTTGTCCTTGCCCGCCCTGTGTGGAGACCACTCCCAAAACTGGGCTCACTGATTGCATGGGACAGTCTCGGGATGTCAACTTGTCACTTCGCTCTTTTAAGAACGCACCCTGTGCGGCAGACTTCTGGGCAGGCACGTGACCCTCCCAGCACCGTCGCCGAGGGAGCAGCATCTGTTGCTGTGTGCGGTCTCCCCGACTGCCCCGTATGCACATCACACGCGGTACCGTGCTTACAGACTTACCACGGGTCTGTGAAATCGTCAGGCGCGCTGGAGGTTCTGTTCCAAACTCACGTCGCCACTGTCGTCGTACTTTGCCCAGTCTCAAATTTGGAATTCCACAGGAAAATGGTCTTATGCTCCTCAGTCGATAACCGTACCTCTGCCATTTTGTCCTGTTGTTTACATCATCTGGGCACACGACAGCCACGATGGTAACACCATCTGTAGAAAAATCACACTACTTTTCTTCCCCTGCAGTGTGTACACATTTTTTTGGCAGATTGTGTATTATACATAGGAATATAGCTAGACATATATACTATACAGTGTACATGAGTGCATTACACATACATGCATAAATATAGCTACACATACATACTGTATGCACGAATACATTATTATACACGTGTGAATACAGCCACATGTGTACTATGTCGTAATATTTACAACACATATGTATATAAGATACACATATGCTATGAATGTATGAACACGCTGTGTACCCGGGCGTATACTATACATTTGTATGTATGAATGTAACTGTACATACATACCACATGATGAGTGTGTTGCTGTGTACGTACGTAGTTGTACATATGGAATGTTGCAGAATCTGAGAGATTGGAGAGACCAACAGCTGAAACAGGAAAATTTATTTAGGTGTGCACCGGCTCAGAGGATCCAAATCCAAAGGCTTAGCCCAGAACAACAGAATATATATTGGTCTGTGGGTCTGGTCCTGGTAGCCAAGCTTTTTTTTTTTTCTTTTTCATGCTGGAGATAGAACTCAGGACCTTGTGTTTGCCAGGCAGGCGTGGTGCCACTGAGCTACATGCCTGGCCTGTAGCCAAGCTTTAATGTCAAACAGTAGCCAGCAGCCCATGTAGGGGGATCTACTTGTAGAATGGCAAAGCTACAGGATTACAGCTTCTTGTCTAACCATTTGGTTCTATAGGTAATTTTGCAAGGGTTACGGTCTCTTGCCCTGATGTGTGGTTTGTGCTTTTTGGTTTGACTGGGATGCTAGCCTAGGTTATATAGTTTCAGCAGAACCATTCATAGGCTTGTCATGATTGGAGATGCGGGTGGTAATAGTGCTTCCTTCCCAAGATGCACACAAGCACACAAGACTATCCCTGTAATACCCGTCCCATAATATTACAGACCTCCACATGAGGTTGCAGATGGGCTCAGATGTTACTTGGCACACATCAAGGTACAAAGAAATGGCTCCTTTGTGATTTGGAGGGGCCTTAGTTTTGTTTCTTCTTTCCCAGCATGGGCCTTGAACCAGGTTTCTCAAGATGGAGACTTGGAGTCACAGCAGATGTAAGGCGAGCCATCTCCCGGGTCACAAACTGTGTAGATCGTGTGGTTATGAGTACAGGTTTCCTGGTGTGTCCCTGTACATTCACAGTAAGTGTGACACAGCAGGGTTCCTGTTGTTGCTCCCCGACCATGTAGTATAGATGCAGTGGGAATATCCCTCTAGGGATTTTTGTCCTGGCAGGGGCAAGGGGAGGACTATAAAAAAAAAAAAAAAAAGGAAAAGCGACATGTGTTGTCACTCTACCTCGATGTTGATCCTCAAGCTTTGGCTGTACATGGACTGGTCAGCTTCTGGAGTGGCCAGAACAGGGCTTCCATCTCCTCAGGCTTCGGCCGTGTGCAGACCAGTCAGCTGCTGGGTGACTACAGCACTGCAGCATTTCCAGGAGCACCAGAAGGCAGCCCAGTTTCAACCTAAAAGGTAGCCGGTTCGGATGATCTGGATCCTGCTGGCTGACCCACTTGTGCTGGCCCCCTTTAGGAGGGCAATCTCCCCAGCTGCAAAATACTTTGTCCATGGTTTCCACAGAATAATGAAGGTGGGCTCCTGGTTTGATGGGGAGCAAAGTACCTAGGTTGACTGTTCACTGTCGACAGTTATGCAATGATTTTCACACAGGAGCTCCTGATACTGAATCATCCCCAGACCTGATAACCAATGATGCCCTCCTCTGGTGCATTAAGGTTATGCCACAGTGTGGTACTTGAATAGTCAGCTGTTATCCCCAAATCAGCTTGTCAGTCTCCCACATCAGCAGGGCGGTGGCACTTAAGCGCCCTTAAGCATGGCCTTAAGCATCTTAAGGCCAGAGTCCAACTGCTTTGTCAAGTATGCCACCGGACAATGCCAGGATCCCATGACCTGAGTTAGGACTCCTAGGGCCATTCCCTTCCATTTGTGGCCATACAGGAAGAAAGGCTTGGCTAGATCAGGCAGTCCTAAGGATGGGGCCCGAGTCAGGGCTTCTTTGATTTGTTTAAATGCTCATTTCTGGTCAGCTTCCCAGAGGAGAGGCTTCTTTTCCCC